TTCCCTGCATTTCACTGTGCGCACTTGTAACGGCTTCAGCTTTAGCAGTTGCGGGGGCTATAGTGAAGGAGTAAATAATGTGGATGACGTCGCTGCCTTCTTGCTGCTGAATGCTCACAGTGACTGTTGCCAGGGGTGCAGAAAGCAGCACTGTGTTTGGCTGGACCTGGTATTGCAGAGTCTCGGGTTCACTCAGGCAGTGCGCGTCGTCCTGTCTCCTACAGGTAGATTTTGAAATGTGAATGCAACGTCCTGGACGCTGATGAAGGTCACGTGGTCCTCTGGTTGCTTTCTGTGGACAAGCCAACTGCCCCTTGTCACACACGACTCATCAGGTGAAGCATTAGTTCTCTGATCCACAAATGAGGAAAGCAAGGCTATGGGAGTTAAGGAATTTCCCCTGACAAAACAGCTGGAGCGACCTAAAGACAACGGTCCTGTACCTCGTGTCTGAAGTCCCACCCATTCAGCCCTTGTTGTTAGCCCTTGGGATTACAGCGTTGTTCCTGATAAATTAAAAAAAAAAAAATTCTGGCAACTTAGGTATCAGAATCTGTTGTTCAGCCTCCTGGGATCTACACTTTGGTCCTAGGCATTCCATTCCCCGACGCTCCCTCCCCACTTCACTCACCCATCCTCTACCTTGTTTCTTCCTCCAGATAGTCCAGGTCTCACCCCTCCCATTGGCATGTGCCATTTTCACCCTTCCACCACTGCTGTGGGATAATGAAGCTAAATGGTGGAATCAAGTGGCTGGCCGTAGCTCCCTTTGAGTGGGCTTGAAGACACTTCTGATGGGCTGATTTGGAATAGTCAAGGGAGTTTCAAAAACAAGCCATTCTAGGCTAGAAAGTATGGACTTCCTTATTCTCCAGGTCAGAACCAGAGCCCATAATGTGTCTGTTTCATAATCACTCTGTTCTTTCAATACATGATGCAGTATTCAAGCCAGTTTTGGCGTAGGTAGCTTGGCTTGCTGTGAGCCGGCTGGAGACAGACCTAATGTTTGTGTGCATACCTCGTCTCTAGTTTTTAGTTATTATTTTTTCTTTAGATCACTGGCTAAAAGCAAGATCTTTGAAGTGAGATAGGTTTGCATCTTAGTGTTGACATAGCTCTGTCTGAATGTTTAGGACCAGTTGCTTTCTCCACATGTAAGTTACTGTTAGGTTTCAAACCAAAGACAAATGACTAACATGTCAAAGCAGACCTGGATGCCAGGTTCTCTGCATCCCTCAGTCCCTTTCTGTTAATCTGGCATTCCTTGCCCCCTACCCTAAACTTCTTCAGCCCAGAGAGGGGCTGCCCTTACCCCAGCTGTCATTTTCTATATAATCCAGCTGTTTTGGTTACCTGGTCCCTTTTGGTCTACCCTTTACCTTCCTGACCTCTCCCTTCCTTCCTTTCCTCCATGTTCACCCTGGACTCTGCCTCTGGCTATGCTCTGCCTTTTATCTATGATAAACTTTCTCCTTCACCATACTAGGACCAGTCATGTCCTTTCCTTTTCTTTTTTATTTCTTTTCTTTTTTTTTTTTTTTTTTTTTTTTTTTTATTCAGTCACCTCATCCTTACCAAAGATATGAAAATGTAATCCATACAATGACTTGATGCCTGGGATATAATTGGTTTCTGTTTTGAACAATATTAACAATAGTGCCAAGCTGTCCTGACTCTAGAAGCTTGCTTGGGTTATTATGTGGCTAGAGTTCATTTAGGAAGCCTTTAGGCCAAAGCCTATCTCAGGAATGGTTGTACCAACCCTTGGGCATTGAGTTTGTCCAAGGCAAAGGTCCCACTTTGCTGGGTGCTGAGCTCCTGTGAAGCTGGTGGGTTATGTGGCTCATTCAGGGAGGTGTAAGCGGAGGGACAGCTCTAGTTTTGTACTGCTTAGTGTGGAACTGTGGGAATGGGTGTGTACCACATACAAGGACCCTCTTACCATTTTGCTTAGAATCTGCTATTGCAGTAGCATACAGATCCTTTGGTTGGTATGCAGGCTCCTCCCAGACTAGCAAGGAACTTAAGATGCCAGGTTGAGGAGGGCCATACAATTCTAGGGTCAGGTGAAGAAGTGTGCCATTTAAAGCTAATTTCTGAGGTGGGTCCATTGTGATGGGGTCTCAGCCTTCCTGGAGACCTGCAAGGGCCCCCTCAGCCGGGAGTCTAAGATCACTGACCCTGGCTACCAATTATGAAGTTGAATCAGTCCTTTGAAACTTTATGGCTGGGATAAACTGAGTTCTGTGTCATGCTGACAGTGCTCGACTTTGGCCTCCTCCCTTCGTGCCTATGGTTTTATTACTTCCCTAGACCTCAGCTGGTTCCCCCCGTGACTTTTGGGAGTGAAGTAGCTTCCCATGTAGACTTGGGTCTTGGGAGTCAGGGGAAATTCCCCCTCACGAAGTCATCTTCCTCTTGTGAAACGCAGTCATTGTCAGGCCTGAAAAATGATATTTCACAGTTTTGCTTGTTTGTTTTTGCTTTGTTTTGTTGTTTGTTTGTTTTTGCATTTGCATTTGCTTCCCAAGGCAAGGAATTTCAGTAACTGTTGTGCCACTTAGTTCATAATTTCAAAATTTTAGTGATTATTTTTCATATTTCCCAAGATGAAGGCAGAGATGGCACAGTTCTCTGAAGGTAGAACTTTCACAGGAAATTTAGCCATAAAATACCCTCAAAGAAAATACCATCAAAGCAAAGAAGCACATGTGATGGACAGATGAAAGTGGGTTGGTCCACTTTCTTTTCTATTTTTTCTCCAAGGTGTTTTCTTCTGCTTTTCATTCTTGCTGTATCTCTGTTGCTGAGAAGGACCTGTCACACAGTCTGTGCTTAATAAGGATTTGCTTGATCAGTTACTGTGTGGTCTCCACCCTCTAGTTCTGTTGAGGTTTGCTTGTTTTTTCTTGGATCATTGTACATCCAAGTCTTTGAGTTTTGTTTTTGGTTTTTTTTTTTTGTTTTGTTTTGTTTTTTGTTTTTTTTTTTTTTTTTTTTTTTTTTTTTTTTTTTTTTTTTTTTTTTTGCAATTTAGCTGTCTCAGGGAGTAGAAAGTTAATAGAAGGTAGAAGTGAATAAAAGACAAAATCATAAACACATTTTGAATTCATGTCTGTTTTTTCCTGTTTAAATTTCCTTAACATGTTTTGAGTACTAAATACATGAGCACAACGTATGTTTATCATGCCCACCCTTCCCCACCCCACATTTCCCCTGTGTCCCCCTTGAGATGCTCGTCTCAATGTCTCAATCCATGTCTTCTTCTGTAAGATTTTATTATATCACTATAATTTTTTGTTTTTTTAATAATTATTTTTATTTTTATTAATTGCAGTTTATTCACTTTGTATCTCCTCTGTACCTCCTCCCCTCCCAGTCCCACCCTTCCTCTTCCTCACCCCTGTCCCACTGAAAAGGGAGGTCCTCCTCCCCTTCCCTCTGATCCTAGTCTATCAGGTCTCATCAGGAGTGGCTCCATTGTCTTCTTCTGTGGCCTGGTAATGCTGCTCCCCCCTCAGGGGGAGGTGATCAAAGAGCAAGCCAATCAGTTCATGTCAGAGACAGTCCCTGTCCCCATTACTATGGAGGCCACTGCCATAGGCTACCTACCTCTGAGCAGGGGTTCCAGGCCATTTTCATGAGTGGTCCATGGCTGGAGTATCAGTTTCAGAAAAGACCCCTGTGCCCAGACTTTTTGGATCTGTTGCTGTCCTTGTGGAGCTCCTGTCCTCTCCAGGTCTTACTATCTCCTACTTCTTTCATAAGCTTCCCTGCACTCTGCCCAAAGTTTGGCTATGAGCCTCAGCATCAGCTTCGAGAGCCGGCAGGGTAGAGCCTTTCAGAGGCCCTCTGTGGTAGGCTCCTGTCCTGTTCCCTGTTTTCTCCCTCCTCCGATATTCATCATCTTTGCCTTTCTGAATGGGGATTGAGCATCTTAGCCATAGTCCTCCTTCTTGATTAGTTTCCTTGGGTGTACAGATTTTGGTATGTTTATCCTATATTATAGGTCTAATATCCACTTATGAGTGAGTGTATACCCTGTGTGTCTTTCTGCTTCTGGAATACCTCACTCAGGATGATCTTTTCCAGTTCCCACCATTTGCCTGCAAATTTCATGATTTCCTTGTTTTTTTTTTTTTTTTTTTTTTTATCACTGAGTAATATTCCATTGTGTAGATGTACCACAATTTCTGTATCTATTCCTCAACTGACACTATACATTTTTTATTAGACTTTGCTTTTTATAACAGATTTAGGGCTACATCAAAATAGAGCAGATGCAGGGCTAAGTAGCCAGTATTTCCGAATCTTGGCACTCATGAATAAATCCACTGCGGACATCAGTGTATCGGGGTTTCTCTTACGCCTTCTGCTCCTGCACAAGCATAGGCTCAGCTTCCATGAACACGCTCGGGTATACACACTGACACGTCACTGTTGCCCAGCGTCTGTAGTTCTTCTCAGATGTTAGAAATGGTGAGCAAAGCTGCAGTGAGCACTGAGCTGTCTTTCTGCCATCATTGGCGGCCAAGCCGTGTGTCTCTCCGTCTTGGCCAGCAGTTGGTGTTGTCTCTGTTCAGGGTTCAGCCATTGCGGCAGGTGTATGGAACCGTCTCATTGCTGGGTGTGACCTCTGCCTTTCACTTTCTTTTGTTTGTAATCATTGTGAGCAATTTTCTATGAACATTTCGAAAGTTCCCCCGAATCTATACAATTTTTTGATGCTTAAGTCAATGTTTTCTTACCAGACATACAAAAAAAAAAAAAAGAAAGAAAAGAAAGAAAGAAAGAAAGTGGAAGTTTTGCTGCTTCCTTGTCAACATGTTTAAAGAAAACATGTCCCTCAGCTTCCACAGGCATACTCTGTTAGCTCCATACGTTAATATGTTTCTGTCGCTGCCATTGCTTTGGTCTCCCTTAACAACTGATTGTTTGGCAAAGGCATCATGTTTGTGGAGAAGGCTGGAGCTTACACCTTTTAAACATCTGTTTTTCAGGTCCCAAAACAGTTGTGTATCTTCAGCATGGGTTGCTGGCAGATTCTAGTAACTGGGTTACCAACATTGACAAGAGCAGCCTGGGTTTCATCCTGGCGGATGCCGACTTCGACGTGTGGATGGGGAACAGCAGGGGAAACACCTGGTCTCGGAAGCACAAGACCCTCTCCATAGACCAAGATGAGTTCTGGGCCTTCAGGTATTTCGCAGTCGGCTATGACTTGGGTCTTTAGCATCCTTAAGGCAGAAAATGTGGAGATTTAAGCAGGGAGGCATATTCAGGAGAACTCTAAAGTTGTATAAAAAGGTTGCTGATGTCTTTTGAAAAGTTGTGAAACTTGTTAGGGATTTAAAACCAGCCTGAAGGTAAATTTAAATAAGTGATTGCATAAGTGGTTAGATTCAATTGGGAATTCCTAAGTTATTCGTAACCTTCCTGGCATTGGGTGTGGGCTGCTAGGTTAAATCTCAGGCAACCCCCCCCCTACCATAACACACATGTTATTTTATTACCTAGCTGTTCACTTTATTTCTCTCTCTCTCTCTCTCTCTCTCTCTCTCTCTCTCTCTCACTTATGGCTCTATCAATTAATTATGGTGTGACACTTGACAAAATGTATAAACTCTGTGTTTGTTTCCTTATCTATAAATTGGGCATGATAAAGTCTTATCATATAAACTCACTTGGCCCTCAAGTAGAAGATTCAAGGAAGAAGTCTCCTCAGAGTTGGAGTATTCTGAGTGCTTTCTAACAATAAGATTCTTACTTTACACACACACACACACACACACACACACACACACACACACACACTCTCACTCACACACACAAACATTCACACACACACACACACACACACACACACACACACACACACACACCCCTACTTGGCTAAAGACTACATTTTGGCGTACCAGCTATCACAGAAGGTTGTCCCTGTAGATGGTTGCTTCCCTTTGATGAAACTAGAGCCATCCTGGTCAGGAGTCACGATTTACTAGAACGTATATTTTTTTATAATGCTGGTTATAACAATGGATACTCAAAGGCGCGCCAGCAGTAAAGTCAGTGAATCAAGTGTGGCGTATTCACATAATAAGGTGGGGATAAATAGCCAGAGTCACATACCAATATGGAGAGAGCCAGATATGAAAGAAGATATGTCATGTCACCCCATTTTCAGGAACTGTGTCAAGTGAATCAAGCTAATTTGTAATGTAAAAACTTAGAGGTGTTACCTCCAGGGGGCACAGCTGAAAGGAGATGTAGGGGACTGCCGTGCTCCTACTCACGGGTAGTATTCTGAACCCATGCTCAGTGTGTGCTAACACACAGTTCCTGCTAAGTATTTGCGTGCTGTTCTATTTTTGTGTGCTATTTCAATTAAAGAGCCCTTTTTTTTTTTCCGGATTATAGTTTTGATGAGATGGCAAAATATGACCTACCTGCTTCAGTCAACTACATTTTGAATAAAACTGGCCATCAGCAACTGTACTATGTGGGTCATTCCCAAGGGGGCAGCATAGGTATGTATGCGGTAAAGAGTGAAAAGGCGACATGCCTTTGAAGTGAAATACAGTTTGTTTTTAAATGCTAAGCTGAAGTCACGAGAAGGGCAAAGAATTTTCAGTAATAATCTACGCAAATTCAGACTTTTGTGTAAATTGTTAAGTGTCTTAAAATGTTAAAGAATTCATGTGAGCTATAACCTGTTAATGTGTTTTTTTTCAGGTTAAGTAACATAGGGATGCGAGAGGGTAGAAAAATAAAAAATTTTCTAGTGTCAGAATGCTTAAAGAGTCGTAAGGAAACCTACTTGTAAATATACTTGTCAAAATGTTGGCAGTTATGAACAACCCTGTATAAACATCAATGTATAGAGACTTCCTGTATACTTTCTGCTCCTGTACATGCATAACCTCAGGTTTATGAAGACCCTCAGGTTGCAGACATGGACATGTTGCTGTCCCCCCGGGCGGAGGTTCAATTCAGTTCCGGTGCTTGCTTAGCATGTTTGAACCCTGGTGTCTAACCTCCAGCACCACCCCAAATAAATAAGTCAGTAATTAAAGAAATAAAATTAGGTGAGACATAATGAACTACAAGGTTCAGAGTCTACGCTTCACAGTGTTTGAAAGCTATTTGCATTTTTCTTTCATGTTGATTATGAAAGTAGTATGTTTCAAAGTGTGTGTGTGTTCATTTTTGTGTGTGTGAATGTGTGGGTTCACGTCAGATCTTAGCTATCAATCCTTCTCAAGACTTGCCTTGTCTTGTTCTGTTGAGTCAGAATCTCTCACGAGCCTGGGTTAGACAGTGATTAGGTTGGACAGGCTGGCCACCCAGCCTCAAAGATTCACCTGTTTCCGCCATTCCAGGGCCCAAACTAAAAGTGCAGACTGCAGCACATGGCTTTTTCATGTCACTTCGGGGTTTAAAGTTGGTTCTGTATGTATGAAAAGCGCTTTATGGAATGAGCTTTCTTCTCAGTTCAATATATTTTTTTTAACTTTTAAATTATGCTGTTTATATTATGATTTTAATATACAATCTTGGGGATAAAAAAAGGTGAGATTATATTGGAGTGTCAAGTGAGAAAGGTCAGTTTCCTGCTAATTTTATGTCACCTCGATACGAGCAAAAGTCATTTGGGTAGGAAACTCTCAATTTAGAAAATGCCTCCGTAAGATTTGCTTGTACTCAGAACTGAGCGTATCTTCATCCCCTGAGGCCAGGCAAGGCAGCCCTGCCAGGGACAAGTGATCCAAAAGTAGGCAATGGAGTCCATGTTAGAAACAGCCCCCCCTCAGCAGGCACCCCATATGAAGACCAAACCACCTATCAGTCACATGTCTACATGGGTCCTAGGTCCAGATGATGCATGCTCCTTAGTTGATCTCTCAGTCTCTGGAAGCCACCATGGGACTGGGTTAGTTGTCTCTGTTGGTCTATTGTTCGGTTGAGGGACATCTAGGTTGTTTCCAGTTTCTGGCTATTACAAATAAAGCTGCTATGAACATTGATGAGCAAGTGGCCTTGTGGTAGCATGGAAGATCTGTTGGATACATGCCCAGGAGTGGCACATCTGGGTCTTGATGTAGAAATGTTCCTAATTTTCTGAAGGAAAAAAAAAAAAAGATTTCCAAAGTGGTTGTAAAACTTTGCACTCCCACTAACAATTGAGAGGTATTCCCTTTGCTCCACATCCTTTCCAGCATGCGTTGTCACTTGAGTTTTTGTTCTTAGACATTCTGACAGGTGTAAGGTGGAATCTCAGAGTTGTTTTGATTTGCATTTCCCTGAAGACTGAGGATGTTGAACAGTTTTTTAAGTGCTTCTCAGGCATTAGAGGTTCCTGTGTTGAGAGAATTCTCTGTTCAGGTTTGTACCCTAATTGTTAATTGCTTTATTTGTTTTGTTGAGGTCTAGCTTTTTGAGTTTTTTATATATTTTGAATGCCAGCCCTCTGTCAGATGTGGAGTTAGTGAAAATATTTTCCCATTTTATAGTCTGCCATGTTGTCATTTTGAACATTTTGTCTTGCCTTTCATGAGGTCCCATTTATTAATTGTTGATGTTAGAGTTGTTGGTGTTCTCTTCCGGAAGTCTGTTCCAATGAATCAGGGTATTCTTCACTTTATAAGATTCAGTGTATCCAATTTTATGTTGAGGTCTTTGATCCACTTTGTCTTTAGTTTTGTTCAGGGTGATAGATATGGACCTAATTGCATTCTTCTACATGCAGACATCCAGTTAGACCAACAACATTTGTTGAATATACTTTCTTATCCGTTATATAGCTTTGGCTTCTTTTTAAAAAATTAAGTGTCCATAGGTGTATAGATTTACTTTTGATTTTCAATTAAAGTTTATTGATCAGCCTGTCTGTTTTTATGCCAATACCATGCAGTTTTCTAAATTTTTTTATTTATTACAATTTATTTACTTTGTATCCCAGCTGAAGCCCCCTCCCACATTCACTTCCAATCCCACCCTTCCTCCCTTTTCTCCTTCCATGCCCCTCCCAAGTCCATTGATAGGGGAAGTCCTTCTCCCCTTCTCTCTGACCTTAGCCTATCAGGTCTCATCAGGACTGGCTGCATTGTCTTCCTCTGTTGCCTGATGAGGCTGTTCCCCCATCAGGGGGAGGTGATCAAAGAGCCAGCCATTGAGTTCATGTCAGAGACAGCCCCTGTTCCCATTACTAGGGAACCTACTTGGAGACTGAGCTGCCATGGGCTACATCTGTGCAGGGGTTCTAGGTTATCTCCATGAATGGTCGTTGGTTGGAATATCAATCTTAGAACAGACTCTTGTGGCCAGATTTCTTGGTTCTGTTGCTCTCCTGTTCCCTCCGGGTCTTTCTATCTCCCCCTTCTTTCATAAGATTCCCTGCACTCTGCCCAAAGTTTGGCTGTGAGCCTCTGCTTTGATACCCTGCTGGGTAGATTCTTTCAAAAGCTCTCCTGTCCTGTTCCCCGTTTTCTCCCTCTACCGATGTCCATCCCATCTGCCTTTCTGCATGAGGATTGATCATCTTACCTAGGGTCCTCCTTGTTATTTAGCTTCTTTAGGAGTACAGATTTTGGTATGTTTATCCTATATTATGTGTCTAATATCCACTTATAAATGAGTATATACCATGTGTGTCTTTCTGCTTCTGGGATACTCACTTAAGATGATCTTTTCTAGTTCCCACCATTTGCCCACAAATTTCATGATTTCCTTGTTTTTAATTGCTGCGTAGTATTCCATTGTGTAGATGTACCAGATTTTCTGTATCTGTTCCTCAGTTGAGGGACATTTGGGTTATTTCCAGATTTTGGCTATTACGATGTGTTTTTTTTTTTTATCATAAAGAAAAGTACAAAACTTTGCAAAGCCTAAAAAATGAGAATTAGCACTGATTTTAACAAGCAAGTGTCTCTTAAAGAGAGGCTGGGAACATGTTCCATAATTTATTAGATTCTCCCCTTTGGGGTTCACTAAGGCCTTCTTGTTCATGGCACGTGTCCTCGGTAGAATACGTTCTGCAAGGAGAGTCACAAAGTGAAGAGTCTGAGTGTTAACATGTTGAACTGCCTCGTCGGTGCAGCAGAAAGTGGAGCTGCACCTACGCCCTTATTTACATCCCTTCTGATGTGACTAGGTGACTTGTCTATTACAGTGCATTGTTTCCCAAGTGTTCTACGAGAAGTGTAAAAGATACTTTGCAGCTAGAGAAGTCCAAATGTGGCTTTTGAGTTACTGGTGTTCTGCAAGAAGGCCTACAGATAAGGGATGGAAAGAGGGGGAGGAGCCGAAGTGTGGGGCGGAGCTATAGGGTTCACCTTGCTATGGGAACAGGGAAGATTTTTTTTTTTCTTTCCATGTGTACTGTAGGCTTGAATCTGGAACCAAATTCAGTGTTTCTGAGCCAGAATGTTTTAAAGCTCTGTTCAAGTGTCCATGGAAGTGTCCCTTGTTAATGGGCTTCCGGTGTAGGGTGTAATGGCTGACCTGTCTTGTGTTCTTTTGACGAAGTACTAATTCTTTCTTTTGCCCCACAGGTTTCATAGCATTTTCCCAGGTTCCTGAGCTGGCGAAGAAGATTAAAATGTTTTTTGCCCTGGGTCCTGTGACATCTCTCAGCTTTGCTGTGAGCCCTTTGGTTAAACTGGGACGGTTACCGGACCTTCTTATTGAGGTACTTGAGTCCCACGCATCTCCCTTCTGCTCAGACACTCTCTGTGGAGCTGGTCATTAGAGGAGAATCGGCAGTATCCTCTGGGGCAGTGTGTGTGTGTGCCTTCATCCCCGCTCCTGCATGCACACCTAGGGAGCCGTATCATTAACTAGACACGCAGCTGCATTCCCAATTAACATGCTAGTCCAGCTTATCCACCATACAAAGAGGGCATAAAAAGTCTTTCAAAAAGTGACTTAAGTATTCATAGAGTTGCTTTTCATCCGTAGGGCATGTGAGTTTGCAGGAACAGACAGGTAGGAGACTGGAAATATGCCATTCTTATGTGCCTGTCTGTAGAAATGCTGAACATGAACTAAGATCTTATTTTAATATACTGTATTTTATAATATGACCCTTAAGCATATTAATGCTTAGCCCTAAAGCTCTACAACTCCAAGCTGTATTCAAAGGGAAACAGCACCCATGAGAAGGAGTTTAAGCTCATTAAGACTGTATAGTGTATTATGTATTTTATACGCACACATTACTCATACAATATCTATTTTATACACACACGAGTACGCGTGAAATCCTATACAGCATTATGTACAGTCATGTGCTGTGTATGAGTTTTTGATGGTTTGGTTGTGAGCCTAACCTTTAATGGCTGAGCCATGTCTCCAGCGCTATAATGGGTTTTTGACAATAAGGAATCATGTATTAGATTGTGGTCCCAACAGATTACAGTGAATCCTGTCAACTAATGATGTCGTAGTCTAACATGCAGTTCACGTATTTGTCGTGATGCCAGAAAAAGAGAAATCTACGGTGACAAGTTATAGAAAAGTGTAGGGCAAATCATTATGCATATCATTCATGTCACTGTTGGCTTTTACCGCCCGCTTGACACAGCCTAGAGTCATCTGATAAATGAGTCCTAAATGAGGAATTACCTAAATCACACTGGCCTGTGGCGTGTCCGTGGGGGGCTGTCCTGACCACTGTGGGCGGTGTCATCCCCATGCAGGCAGTCCTGGGTTGTGTAAGAAAGCATTAAGCATTAGCCTGTGACCGAGCCAGCAGGAATCTCCATGGCTCCCACCTCACATTCCCTTCCTGGCTTCCCTCAATGACGGAATGTAACCTGGTTGTGTAAGACGAAACAGAGCCTTTCCTCCCCCAATTTGCTGTCCGTAGGAGTGTTTGATGACAGCAACAGAATGCAAACCAGATCAGTGTCACTGTTTTATCTGTATCCTAGCCTTTTCATCGTTATTTTGTCATGCGCTGTTTCACCTGGCAAACATGCTAGTTGTCAAGGCTTGTGGCATGCTGTGCCCACAGTGGACTGGTGAATCTCATGCTCACCACATTTTTTGATTGCGTCATGAGGTTAGGTTAAGTGATTGACCTGTACCATCTAGAATTGTGTAAGGGTGCTGTGTGCTGGTTGCATGATGAAAACGTTACTGAGTTTGGTTTTTAGAACTAATCCCTGGTATTAAGTGGCTCGTTACTTAAAGGGAGGTGTAACAAAGCTTCCTCTCTCTCTCTCTCTCTCTCTCTCTCTCTCTCTCTCTCTCTGGCCATTTTAAGCTTTCACAGTAAATACATACTCTTCTCTGATTTCAAAACCTTACATTTGCTGAGGTGGCATGTTACACTTCTCTGTCTTTTTAACTGCCACGCAGTTAAAGTTAAGCTTTGGGTTATAAAGAGCCATAAACAGTAACTTAGACTCTTGTAGGAATTCATTGAACCAACACACATGCTGATGAAATTTTCTTCAACTGTCTTTGCTAGTTGATCTGCATTACAAATCCTTCGGAAATGACAAGTACTTCCTGACTATGAGGTCTCCTCCCTAATGCCTTCTTTAGAATCACTCAGTTTGGAGGTCTTTTTCTACAGACCCTACCTATGAATTTATGCATATAGCGATATGCCAAGAGAAACGTAGTGTTTTGTTACAATGTAGATGGCATCCAACTCTGTAGATTGTTCTTCATCTCGCCTGTTTCTCCCCTGGCGAGCCAGCCTGTTGACTGATTTCCTTATTAACCGCTGCATAGACAGTTTTTTATTACAAAGACCTTCCATGAATTAGCTTGACTGCTGTGATGGGCATTCAGGCTGAGGAGCCGCTCGAATGGGGATCCGGGGAATGTTATCACCCTGGCTTGTTCCATAGAGTTTATGAGTTGGCTTTGTAAACCTAGAAATGCTATACGCAGACTCCCCCCCCCCCCCATTCCACTTTTGAATTTACAGGTTGTAAATTCTGGAGCAGGGAACAGGAATCTGCATTTTTATAAAGCATTCTCTGTGATTTCTGAGGAGGACTGTGGACCTGGCATTTGGGTCTCATGGTTTCAGACTGTAGTGCTTTATGGCACACACTGGGGGTGGGAAAAAACCTCACAAGACAAAACAAGAAAAACGACAACAACAGAACAAACAAAAATGTGAATAAATATTCATAAAATCTTTGAATTAGTTGCTCTGAGAAATACACATTGCTTTTGTGTAAGCAAAGTGTTCCTCTCTAAGCCTTTGAAAAAAATACAAAAGTAAGATTCACTGGCCTATCAAATGAACATCATGTTGACACTAAGCCAGGAGCTGTGCATGGTCTGGCTCTCCAGGTCACATGACCTTTTCTCCATGAGGACTTTACTTCCTGGTCCTTTTTAGCTACCTGTTAATTGGGTATTCTGGTGATCACTCAGACCTGCTGTCTGTTCTTAGGTGTTGATACACTGTTGGACAGAAGATTGATTTGACAGTGTGCTGGCTAGTTTTCATGTCAACATGACACAAGCTACAGACATCTGGGAAGAGAAAACCCGGACTGAGAAAATTCCCGACTCCATTGGCTTGTAGGCCAGCCTTGGGGGCGTTTTCTTAACTAGTGGTTGATTTAGGGGAGCGAAGCCCACTGAAGGGAGTGCCATCCCTAGCCAGGTGGTCCTGGTTGCTATAAGAAAGCCGACCCAAGCAAGCCCTGAGGGAGCAATCCAGGAAGCAGCACTCTGTCATGGCTTCCGCATCAGCTCCTGCCTCCAGGTTCCTGCTCAGTGTGAGTTGCTGTCCTGACTTCCTTAGATAATGTACTGTGCTAAAGAGCTATAATCTGAAACAAATTCTTTCTTCTCCAGGTTGCTTTGGCCGTGGTGGTATTTTATCACAAGTAATTAAAACCCAAATGAAGACAGACTGTCTATGGGGGGTGAGGGGGAGCAAATTTTCTGAAAGAAACTAGAATACTAGAGTGTTATACATTTAACCTAGTGCAATGTTTACATTGCAGATCAGAGAGCTGATTTTATTTCCAAGAGAGGAGAAATCCACCTTCTTGGACTAGTGGTGCACCAGAAGAAGTAGAACAAGCAGGAGTTACATGTGGTGCTGCGCTCAGTGTGAGCAGTCAGTTTTGCCGAGGTTGTTGACATTACCCAGTCATCCATTTGGAGGCCACAGCGAAGGCTGCCTGTGTCACTTCACTCATTGGTGTTTACAGTTTTCTTGCACTATTTCCCTAGCTTCTACAGGCAAATATGTTGCGTGTCTTTGGCCCTTTCTGGCTTGTAGAAGCTTTGTCTTCGTTTCTGCCTTCTTCGTCATTCGCCACATGTCCATTTTTGTGGCCAAATTTCTCCTCTTTAAAAAGATGCTTGAAGGTCCAGCCTCTATTTCACTTGATTCATCTGAAAGGACCCAATCTCCAATTAAGGACATTCTCAAATACGAACAGTTAAGACTTGACTATCTGGCTTTCAAAGTGTCATAACACAACCCGAAACATTTCCTTTATAGGTATTTGAGTTTTCCATTCTTGCTTGTCCTGTAGTTGGTGGGTGTGAGCAATAGTACAAAGGGACAGATCTGGGTTCCATATAAGGAAGAGTTGTACATGAAGATCATCCTTGGGAATGTGATGATGGTCCCGGTTGTACTTGAGCACAGGCTGAGTGACTATTGATTAGGAAGAGTGTAGACTGAGAATTGGGAAGGTGTTTTTGTTTGTTTGTTTTTGTTTTTGGGTGTTCCCTCCTCTCCTCCCAGTTCCTCCTTCCCCTCCTTCCCCCTTCCCCTCTCCCTTTCCCTCCAGAAAAGGGGAGCCCCCATCCTCCAGTATCAACCCTTCCCAGCATATCTGCATTCTCTGAGGCCAGGCAAGGCACTTCCCAGGCAGAAGTGATCCAAAAGCAGGCAGTAGAGTCCATGTTGGAAACAGCTCCCCACCCCCATCTCCACTCACCAGGTGCCCCATATGAAGACCAAGTCACCCATTGGCTATATGTGTTCAGGGGACCCAAGTCCAGACCATGCATGCTCCTTAGCTGATGTCTCAGTCTCTGTAAGCCCCCATGGGTCTGGGTTAGTTGTCTCTGTTGGTCTTCTTGTGAGGTTCCTGTCCCCTCCAAGTCTTTCCATTTTACCTCCAACACTTTCACAGGGCTCCTGGAGCTCTGTCCCATGCTTGGCTGCAAGTCCCAGCATCTGTTTCCATCCGCTCCTGGCTGGACAGTCAAGTTAGGCTCCTGTCTGCAAGCATAGCATGGAAAGCTTTTTTTTTTTTTTTTTTTTAAATAAAGAGCCAGAGAGCAAGTGAATTTGGCCTTGTGAGCCACGTGGTTTCTGTTTTTGATGACTCCTGTCTTCAGAAGCATCCAGAGATAATTCATAAATCAGTGCTGTGGCTGTGTTCCAGTAAAATGTACAAAACCACATGTGGTGTTGGGGACAGGGCAAGTGAAGAGTAATTAATTGTCTAAGAGGTTCAGAGTAATTGTTTAATGGGTACAGATGCAAGGGTTATGAAAGTGGATCACAGGCCTAATCACACAAGCGTGAAAGTGCTTGACACTGAGCTGAGCAGTTAAAAACAGTTCAGGTGATAAATCTTACATGTTTTACCATCACAAAATAATTCTTTTTTTTAAATATATATATTTATTTTTTATTAATTACACTTTATTCATTTTGTATCCCCCCATAAGCCCCTCCCTTCTCCCCTCCCAATCCCACCCTCCCTCTCCTTTCTGCATGCATGCCCCTCCCCAAGTGCACTGATAGGGGAGGTTCTCCTCTTCTTTCTGATCTTAGTCTATCAGTTCTCATCAAAAGTGGCTGCATTGTCTTCTTCTGTGGCCTGGTAAATAAGGAAATCATGAAATTTGCAGGTAAAGGTGGGACCTGGAAAGGATCATCCTGAGTGAGTTGTCCCAGAAGCAAAAAGACACACACGGTATATACTCACTCATATAGACAGACATACAACATAGGACAAACCCACTAAAATCTGTGCATCTAAAGAAACTAAGCAAGAGAGAGGACCCTAACTAAAATGTTCAATCCCCACCTGAAAGGCAAAGAGGATGGACATCAGAAGAAGAAGAAAACAGGAAACAACCTAGGAACCTGCTACAGAGGGCCTCTGAAAGCCAGAAGAAGAAAACAGGAAACAAACTAGGAACCTTACACAGAGGGCCTCTGAAAGCCTCTGCCCTGCAGACTATCAAAGCAGATGCTGAGCCTGATGGCCAACTGTTGGGCAGAGTGAATGGAATTTTATGTAAGAAGTGGGAAATAGTAAGAGCTGGAGAGGACAGGAACTCCACAAGGAGAGCAACAGAACAAGAAAATTTGAACACAGGAACTTCCCAGTGACTCATACTCCAATCAAGGACCATTCATGGAGATAACCTAGAACCCCTTCACAGATGTAGCCCATGGCAGTTCAGTGTCCAAGTGGGTTACCTAGTAATGGGAAGAGGGACTGCCTCTGACATAATCTGATTGGCCTGCAAAATAATTCTTAATAAATTGGCAATAACCTCGAAAGGTGGCTCACACCTGTAATCCAGCCTTCAGGAAACTTGGGAAGCAGAATTCCCATGAGTTTGAGGCTAGCATGGGCTATGTAACAACTATGAGGGGGCTAGCCAGGGCCACACAGCAGGACCCTGTTTTGAAACAAACATTAAACAGCCTGCAGGTGGCTGAATTTGACCCGTATTGAGGTGGAGGGAAATACACCTCCTTAGAGCCTCAGTATCTTCTCAGAAGTCACAAGAACTGTTTGGGAGCAGCCTTTCGACAAGTGGTCCTGGTCTTCTCCCTTTCTAACAGTCTGCTATATGCTTACTCAGCTCTCTGCCTCTGCCTTTTCATTTTGGGAAGTTCAGCGCGAGTCTGTAAGCACATCTGGTTTAGTCCCGGGAGGTATCTCATAGGTTTTCTGTTTGGAATGCCAGTTGGTTGCCTTGTGTTCCGGAGGCCCCCGTGGAGATGCCTGTATGTCCGCACCTCAGGAGGCATGTTGACTGGCACATCAGATTGAAATGCTGACCCATTCTCGGGTTTCTTTTTATTTTGCAGGACATGTTCGGGCACAAGCAGTTTTTGCCGCAGAATGCGATGCTGAAGTGGCTGAGCACTCACGTTTGCACCCACGTTATCATGAAGGAGCTCTGTGCAAACATCTTCTTTATTATCTGTGGCTTCAATGAGAAGAACTTAAATCTGGTACGTATGTACCATAGTTGAGACTTGAGCTCAGCTGTCAGTTATCATCTATGCATGTGCTTGTTTGTATGAGAGGTGCAGACCTGGACCCATCAGACATTAAAATCTTCCATTTAACCTGGGCGTGGTGGCACACACCTATGATCCCAGCACTCGGGTAGGCAGAGGCAGGAGGATCTCTGTGAGGCCAGCCTGGTCTACAAAGCAAGTCCAGGACAGCCAAGGCTATACAGGGAAGCCCTGTCTCAAAAAAACAAAAATCTTTCATTTAGGAAACATAAGAATTGGCTTTAGCAAATGGCACTGTCTGCTGCTGCCTCTGGGCTTACTCCTATCATCTTCCTACACAAAACTTTTTTTTCCTACACAATTTTTTTTTTGTAATATTAAAGGAAGATATGATATTTAAAGTCGCTGAAAGCTTAGGAAAATGTGAAGAAGATAAAAGGACTTGTGGCTGCAGCCTGTGCCCCCTTGCACTCAACCCCGCTGTTGTTTTTCCTTCGTAGGTACTCTGCAGATGTGGGTGTTTTTATTGGAGGTCTTTGTAGTCAAGATATGTTCTGATCTCTGGGAGACTGGTAGTCTGAAGAACCGCGTTTAGATTTGTGTTATTTTATTCTTTGAGGGAAAGCACGTATTTCTGGATATCGCCTCGCCACTATTTATTTACATCCTCTAAGTCACCATTTTTCTCTTTCAGTCTAGGGTGGATGTGTATTCAACGCACTGTCCCGCGGGAACCTCTGTGCAGAACATCCTACACTGGGGCCAGGTAAGCACGCCGAGGGTAGCGCTGGCTCCTGTGAGGTCAGTATTGGGTAAAGCTGGAACCGGCTAGGCTGTGGATCCCCAGAGCATTGCTCTGCATGCCTTTCCCTAAGAAATCCAGCAGATCAGATCTGTTTCCTTCCTACAGTCATGGGTTCTTGTCACAGAGTTGGAGCCAACTCATTATCTTCCATGCTCTGCGCTGTGTTAGCCAAGGGCTCCTCGTCTGGCGTTTATCGGGGTTAAGTTTTTCTCTCTTCTCTCCCAGACTTTATTCCTGTCTCAGATTTATATTTCCCTCTCCTATGCCCCGTTCCTTTTCCTTTTCCCTCCCTATTTTTATTGTATACCAGATTTATTTTATTTCCTGTTTGATAAAATATGATTTTGCAGAGACAGGAGCTGTCATTTCAGTAACAACCCATGTTCACAATGTGCCTGAACATCAGTGGGTAAGCCAGAGCAGTGGCAATCATGTATAATAGTGGGGGGTCACTAAATTTAAAATAGAATTTTGACCATTTTAATCACATAAACAACATATGTGGGTTCCGGAGCACTTAGAGTTCACATATAGATAAAAAGAAAAGTATCTTAAAATGGAAATAAAATTACTTTAATAATTTCATACAGATAGTAGGTACACATTTCAGGGAACAAATATCTCTACATTTGAAGTAGGAATTGTCTCTGAGTTTGCTTGGTGCCTCTTGCTGAATCATTTACAAGGGGCGCAGTTATAGGTAGAATATCTGGTGGAGAAGAGGATTGTGTTTTCTTTTCTGCTATGGCCTTACAACTTGCTTCCCCCACCCCACTTGACAATAAGGGAGGACTTATTTCCAGCTTAGAACATGATTTTGAGAATCGTCTTTTCCAACTAACCTCACCCTAAACATGGAATACTTTATTGCTTATGCTTCAAGCCAAGAGGCTCTAAAGGTGTCTTAGGTAGCAGTTTCTGAGTACTGGGCAGATACTGCTTGCATCAGAACCACTGCATTCCTCTAAGGATTATACCTTTTAATCAAGCATTCTTTGAAAGAAATAAGAGGTGGGATTGCAGAACAAACACTGACTTTTAATAATGAAGAATATGGGACTAGGAGATGGCTCAGTAGATAAAGACGCTTGCTGCCAAGCCTGATGACCTGACTTTGACCCCTAGAACCTACAAGGTTTAGGGACAGAATGTGCTCTAAGTTATCTTCTGACCTCTATATGTGCTTGTGTGTGCACGCACATACACACACATACACACACCAATTAAAACCTGTGGGTCAGGAGATGGCTCAGCAGCTTAAAGTGCTGGCTGTGTGAGTCAGGCAACCCCTAGAACTCCCATAAAGGTAGGAGAGGCCCAACTTCACAGAGTTGTCCTCTGAGCTTCACAAGTATACGCTCCGCTCCCTTCATCCTGTTCACACAATAACAATAAATAAAAACTAAGGAAAAAATAAAAGCAGACTCCTGTGCACACAGAGATTCCAGTTCATTTGGGCTGGAGAGTCTGAACTTTGGGTTTTTATTTTTTGCATTTTCATTGAGATGTAAGTTGTACAACTTGATACGTTTTGGCATAACCTGTAATGCCGTTGCCTCAGGTGTGATAGGCAACACCCGCCACCTCCAAAATTCTCCTCATGTTCCTGGGCAGTGACTTTCCCCAGCAACAACCGACCTGCTTTCTGCCACTATATTTTACTTTGCCTTTTCTAGAGTTTGTGTGAAGAGAGGCATAAAATAATAATGTATTTGTCTGGCTGGGTTTTTTTTTTTTTCAACATAATTAGTCTGAGATGATCCCTATCGCGTCTATTGGTAGTTCAGTCCTTTTCATAATTTACAAGGATCTGCGTTTTTAAAAAGTCTGCCATCAGCTTCTTTCACTAGCTTGGTGTGTAAGTCACTGCATGCCTAAGAACATCCTCTCTATCCTCGGAGCCTTGTCTGTGGAAGTGTGGTATTGGTTCCTGGCTAAGGTGGATGGCCCTCTCGAAAGCTTCTCTGTAAGGAGCAACCTTTGAGGTTATTGTGTTGTCAGGAAAGCGAAATGTCAGGTGACAGTTTGCTCTGGCTTAGAACAGGGCTCCCCAGAATGCGAGCTGTCTATGCCGTGATCGCAGAACTCATGTACCACTTAAAGGATGCTTTTGACCTTGGAAAGCACTCATATTTGCAGATGCCTTTCTCTCAGGCCCTTGCTACTCTCAAGTATGTTTTTGTTTATGATCATTTGTTTTCTTCAAACGTTCTTATGCTAAAATTCCCCCAACACATGTAAACATTTTACCTCTCTATTTGGACACATCCTTAAAAAGGCCCCATTTCTAGCACCTCGGAAAATCAGTGAGTTTCCAAAGATGTCTGCTGGCTGGCTGAGGCACACTGAAGGCAGATAGTGAGCTTCACATTCACTTAATGGCCACCAGCAGCCCATGTGTGGATGCCAGGTCCTTCGGCAAAGCAGAAGTAACTACTCAGCCAGTTGAGACCGTGGCTGCCCCAGGACCATGATAGGTCATCTGTGCAGAAGAGTCTTACTTCGTTCTCAGTGTCCCCGGCCCCCACTGAGCACTGAATTTGAGTGACAGCAGCTGAACTGGCTGTGCTCCAAGTATCTGCCCTGATTCCAGCCCCTTTTATCTGCGCCTTTAAGCAGCTGGTCAGGGTCAAAGACTGCAGGCTGAGGGCCATAGCATTGCTCTCCAGCCAAGTTTGTGACCTTGCGGTTTCAGTATTTCCAAATCCACAGCTTACTGGAGAGTTCCCTTTGCCCTTCTGCTCAATGTGATATTGTCACTCTGTCAAGACAGGAGTTTCTGTGTACAGCCATATCCTAGTGTGTTTTGTTTTGTTTTTGCTGTTGTTGTTGTTTCTTTCCCTCTCCTGCTGGGCTCTTGCAATGGCCTTGATACTTGGGGTTAGATGGCCTCAGGAAATAATGCTGATGCTCAGCTTTTTTCCTCCCTCTTTTCTTTTTATTCAGTCCAGGCCCCCCAACCCCCATCCATGGGATGCCACCCATGCAGGCTAGGTCTTCCATCTTCCTGGAAGAACTCTCATAGACACAGATGTGCCGAGAGATGTCTCTTAGTTAATTCCAAATATACTTAAATTGGCAATTAGGTTTAAATGTAGCATCCTGAAAGCTGAATCTGACAAACTTATCATCAGGTCCCCTAGCCAAATCTATTCCTGTCCACCCCCTCCTCCCCCAGCCCTGCCCATAGCCTGGGTACTTGTTCCTTTTTTAAGAGTCCTCACCTGGCTTTACAATGTTAGCCACCACCACTGGGGACACAGATGAAAACAGATTCCTGGACCTATCCCACATCTATCCAGGATCTGAATTCTGGAGGTGTGTTCTTAGGATCTGCATATTAATAAGGACCTCAAATCATTCTGATGCTATCCACTGTTTGAAATGTGCTGTTTTTTTTTTTTTTTTTTTTTTTTTAATGTACATTTGATTAACTGTTTACAAACAACACTGAAGGGCTGGAGAGATGGCTCAGTGGTTAGGAGCATTGGTTGCTCTTTCAGAGGTCCTGAGTTCAGTGCCCAGCACTGACATGGTGGCTCACAACCATCTGTACTATGATCTGCCGCCCTCTTATGGCATGTAGGTGTACATGCAGTCAGAGCACTCATATACACAAAATAATAAATAAATCTTTAAAAAAAAATAGCGCTGATAGCTTGAAGTCCTAAGTGACACTGAGCACACACCAAGCTCAGGCTGAGTTACAAGCTGTTTCCTCCTTACCTGGTACTTTATACACACGTAAGGTCTGTGAGAAAGTGATAAACTGATGTCTGCTTACCATGGTGGTACAGGTTGCACTGGGGCATTGTCACTGGTGATTAGAGGTAGAAATGGATACACACCCTGTAGCTGTAAGTCTCTGTTTTGCTCAGTATTTCACAAGTATTTAACGCTTGTCATCTGTAATGGCAAAAATTGATGCTAAACATGTTTATCATGGCAACACTTTGTAATGTCTCTCACACAGACCTTATCCTATCAAACAGAAATGTGTTATGTAGTTAATGAGAACTGAAATTTCACACCCATATTTTTTTTTCTGACGAAGATTGCCTGGCTTTGCTTTGTTACGCTCTTTCTTTTTCTTAGCCAGGTCCCATCAAGTGGCCAAAGTGAACAAATTTCCACTTCTTTTGGCTTGCTAATTTTAGATATAATTCAGTTAAATTTGGATGTGTAGAGGAACTACCATCTTGTACTGTTTGAAATTTTGTAAGTAAGTGAACTTTTGTGGGTAACTTCATAGTTTACTTTTGAAGAGCATACATTTGGATTTCATGCACATTATCATTTCATAATGGCAGTGTAACTAATTAACAAAAATCATTAAACTATCAACAAGTGGGGCTGGGAAGTTGGTTCAGTCGATTCAGTTCCCATACAAGTATGGGAATCTAAGTCTGATGTCTGACACTCATGAACAAACAACCAAAAACCCATGATGTGAGGTATATGCCTTTAATCCCAATGCTAGGGATGGGGAGACAGGAACAAAATCCCTGGGGCTCACTCACCAGCTAGTCTAGCCCATCAGTGATGTTCAGGCTTAGAGAGACCCTGTGTCAAAAGCGAGATGGAGAGAGACTGATGAAGATACCCCAAACCAACCTCTGGCCTCTACACATATACAAGCAAATGAATGTGTGCACATGTATACTCTCACAAAATCTAAACAATTAATGCATGTTGATAAGTAGGATAAACAAAAAGCATAGCCATACCTTTGTACAGTCGAGCATCTCTTAAGGAGAGGCAGGTGTACATTTTGGGTAATGTGTGGCTAACTGATTTTATTGTTGTTTGAGCATCATAGAGCACACTGAGTGCAAACTGTGATAGTTACAATGTCACTTGGTTAGTTACAATGTGACACAGCCTTATTTGCTCAGAGTCCAAAAAGTCAGTACTCATGACAATCTCCAAGTAAAATTGCTAACTCTAGTGGAAAACATCCACGCAGAAAAAGTTCACCTCATTGGGGTCACTCTTCTGGTCATAGCTGTTTTTCCCACCAGTCAGTCAGGAATTCAGTCCTGTGGTAAAGGAAATCATAGCACTGTTTTAATTTTACTTTAGGTAATTATTTGGAAATGATAAATAGACCTGTGTTGGGATATAACTTGACTTCTGACGACCTGATTGGCTCTAGCAACCTCTGATATCATCTCAAACTTCAGTGCCTGCTAACTTTTTTCCCTCCAAATTTTATTATTTTTAGCTTATTAAACACCACCAGTTTCAAGCTTTTGACTGGGGAAGCAGTGACAAGAATCATTTTCATTACAACCAGGTAAAACTTTCAATTAAAACGGGCTTTGAAAACTCACCAAAGAAGCCAGCCTTGGCTTTCAGAACTCATTTGGGCTCAGCTGCTGGGGGAATATTCTTGGTAGAATTGCCTAGGCAGGGTATGTTCCCTCAGCCCACACAGACCTTTCCAGATCTCTCAGTGGTGGTATGGTCCAGATCTCCTGTCCGTATCCTTTCTGGCTGTAGATAAGGGGTCACTGGGATTCAGTAGGATCATAAGCATGCTTTTCAGAACCGAGGAACCCCTAGGGTGTTTCCAGTTTGCTAGAGGTGAGATCCCTGACATATTACATGGCTTACGCCTTTTCTTCTCTGTGCAAATATTATTTCCAGTTTTCGAGCACTGAGTTCCCTAAAGTATGAGAACCTTCCTCTCTGCTTTTCTTCATTCTTGAGATATGGAGGATGTGTGTGGCTTCTCTTGCATTCAGAGGACCTGAAGGAGGACCTGATCTCCCAGGCCTCCCTGCTCTGCCTTGACCTCTGGGGAAAACTGACACTGGAGATTAAGTGGTCCCCACAGTGCAGCAAAAGAAAGCATGTCCACAGCTCCAATTCTCCTTGTAATGACTACCTGAAAAACATAATGAGAAAAACACGTTTCTTTTTGTTTTGGTTTTTTTTTTTTTTTTTTTTTGTTTCACATCAGACTTACTAGACATTTGTTTTTCAGTAGAGAGTGCATTCATTACAATTTAAAAAAAAATGATAACAAGAACAGTTGCAAAAGCTTTTCATGATTTTTTTTTTCTTGTAGAGCAGTCCTCCCACGTACAGCATGAAAGACATGACTGTGCCCACTGCTTTGTGGAGTGGAGGCCAGGACTGGCTGGCAGACACCAGTGACATCAATATCTTACTGACTGAGATCCCCAACTTGATCTACCACAAGCACATTCCCGACTGGAACCATCTGGATTTTCTCTGGGGTTTGGATGCCCCCTGGAGGTTGTACGACGAAATAATCAGTCTAATGAGAAAATACCAGTGAATGCCAAACACCCTCCAGTAGGGGGAAAAAGATATTTGCTTAATTTCTGTAAATACTTGTGTTTTCCTTCGCCTAGATCTTTTATATTTTTTTATATGCACGAAAATGATGACTTTGAAGATGCCCATTGCCCTCTGATTAGTGAGAAGCATGATTCCTGTCTTATGCCTAATTGTGACTAACGAACAGCTAACAAACCGGCCTCACAATCCATGATGCCTTTCTAAGTGTTTAGAAAGTATGAGTGACACGTGAAAAAAAAAATCATTTTGTTTACTTTTTACAATTGTTTTTGGTGTACACGCGTGCTGTACTTATACATGGGTATGTGTGTGCTGGCCAGACCTGCCTTGTGTGGCGGTAAAGGCTAGTATCAAGATGTCTTCCTCAGTCACCGTCCACCTTATGTTTTGGGACAGGGTCTCTCACTGAACTTGGAGCTCACCATTTCAGCTAGTCTGGCTGTCCTGTGAGCCTCTAGGATCTGCCTGTCTCTACCCTCCCCCTCACCAATGCTGGGGTTACAGGCACATGATGCCCCACCCAGCATTTTCACACTGACTCTAGGGACAGGAACTCAGGTTCCCATACTTGTGTATTGAGCATTTTCCCCATGGAACCGTCTTTTTAACCCCTTGGCAATTTAAAAGCCTCTCGACAGCCTTTTCATCCCCACCCAACACATGTGAACACATAACAGGACGCGTCAAGCTATCGTTCAGTAACAAAAATAAATGTCAAAGACTTGAGCACACTGTGAAAGGGTCTTGTTGTGAGCTTGACACGGCAGTGCAAACCTGCAAATCCAGGTACTTGTGAAACTGAAGCAGGAAGGCTGCTGCTAGATTTAGGGCTTATCGGCAGAGTGACATTTTGTCTCAAGAAAACCAAAGACAAAGGAGACAAACAAACAAAAGAACAGAAAACAAACAAAACACCCCAAAGTACTCAGTTTTCATCTCTTTTCCTTAGAGGGCTTTCTAGCTCAGTGTTCCTGTGTATGCCTATCCAAACAACATTTTTCATGTTATTTTCTTTTTAAAGCACTAGCTATCTAGTCAAATCCAGTGTTATCCTGTGTTACCCTAGCTTCTCCAGGAATAAATTTTCTCTCTTCCATTTTATAAGACCTCAATAACAAACGTTTAGCAAAAATATTTAGATTTTCCAGGCTAAGCCTCCAAGCTCCCCCAAAGCCTAGATTCTTGAAAAGCAGTTTGCACTGATTAAAAAGGAAAAAAAAAATCTTTTGTAAATACCTTGGAGATTGATTCAATAAGCTGCATTTGCTCTCTGTGTGTTGTCGGATCGCCTGTCTGTTCTGTGGGCCACCGGGTCGCTTTCTGTGAAGACAGGTTCCGTGGGAGGACAGACGCCTAGTTTCCCAGAAGTGAACGTGGCTGCAATGATAGTGCCTGTGCCAAAGCTGGCTGCCCTGTGGCAAGCGTTCTGATTCAGTTTTCACACAAATGGACCTTCAGAGTTCAGCTCAGGAGTTCAGCTTTGAGAACCAGGGTCATGCACACCGCGTTTCAGTGGTTCTGCCGCGTGTAGGAAGCCCATGCTCGTCTGTCTTGCTTGTACGATGTCTCTGGTGTCAGCTGGGCAGTTGATAAGTCTTCTGACCTTGTCACTTTAGATGCAGCAATATGACTTGATATTGGCTCATACGTGGAGGCAGAAGGATACAACTTTGTAACATTTTAAAGGTTCGTAATTAACTTTTCAATAAAGCTCAGCCTCACAGGCCTGAATGATTGTATGGTGGCATTTGCTTTTTAATGGGTAGCCTATATTTCTTCTTTTGGCAGGACACAGGATTTTTCTCTCTCTGCTCTCACCCCCACCCCTGGAAACCTCACTTACACGGTCCATGAGCAATTTGAAGGAACAGAAAGGGATCCAGAGCTGGGGCTGGTCGCATTGTCCATGTTAGTTAGTGAGCCTCTGAGTTCAGACCAGGCGATGATGAAGCCCTTTTCCAGGCAGTGGTTAGTTGCTGGCAGAACCTTGGACTATCTGTCACTTCCTTCCTTGAACAAATGAGGCAAATAAGGCCGACAGAGACAGTTCATGCCTTATGACTCCAAAAAAAAAAAAAAAACCACACCAGTGGGCCCAAACTTCTGTACGGGGTACATACCACTGCTCATCCTTGCATGATTAGAGTCCAACAGAGCCTTCATTATAGTGACGATATGTGGACTGACACAATGCGTAGGTACGTGCTTTCGTTCAGATCAATGAAGTGAGAAAAAGTAGGTAGGCCCAAGGACTGGCACAACCTCCTCCATGTGGTTTCTCCTGGCACCCTCAGAAAGGCCTGAAGCACTGAAAGCCTTCATAGGGGTCACCCTTCTCTCTGGGTACAGGACCCCTGGGACCCCTGCTTTCTCATTTGATCAAGGCAAACTGGCTTTGCCAAAGGAGCACAGAGCTGAAGAAAGGGGCGCCAAGCTGGAATTCCTAGCTGTCATTTCCCCCAGGAAGTGTGGCGAGCAGGCTGGACAGTGCCGAGAGTGACTTGTTACTCCAGCCTCAGTGGCTGTTAGAGGGCCTCCTCAGTGTCCTCAGGAGCGTGTGGAGAGCCCCGTTCCCCCTGGTTCACGGCGGGTGCCCACACAGCGGTGCTTCCCACTGTGAATTCTTTTTCTGTCTTCCTTTCAGGCTTTGCCCTGGGAACTTTTCCGTAGGGAAGTGGGCGGATGAGTCTCCAGGTGCAGAAAGCACACAGCTGCGCCTGCCACACTGGCTTTCACCTGTTCTCTTCCATTTGTGGTCTCCTGTCCTGGATGCAGAGCCCCTCCCCAGCCCCCATCCAGGGCAAGGGATCAGTTTTCCATACTCTAGGCACTCCACTCTTGAACTGCGTTTCCATCCTTCTTTGTGGTCACACTAACTTAGTTTATCTCAGTATCTGTGAGTTGCGACTCCTGCAGGAGAAGCCCTCTGACAGTTTGGGGGTGGGTCTCCCTGGGGTCTTTTCAGCTGGCTTTAGCAAGTCCTGTGTTGAGCAGAATGTGAAGATCTCCACACGCCTGCAGCCTATAGAGTGGTAAAGTAAATATTCGGCCTCTTTGGGATTCTTGCCCTGAAGCCATTTGGCTGAGGTCAAGTGTCTTTTCACCTGTCTACTTGAGGTCCTTCTCTAAGGTGTATTTTTCTGAGGAAATAAATGAAGAATGGAGAGAGAAAGGGGAGGAAAAAAAATCAGTTTTCTTTTATTACAATGGAGAATGAAGGAGGGAAAAATATTACTGTTTTCATCACAATGGGGAATGAAGAAGGGGGAGAATCTTGTCATCACAATGGAAAATGGAGGAGGGGAGAAATCACTGTTTTCAACCCCACAAGAGGGCGCTCTTCACTTTGCTTGTAAAACTTGCCAGCCACCATACCCCACACTTGGTTTGGTTTTGTTTTGAGACTCTCACTATCCCCAGGCTGGCCTGGGATTTGCAGTCCTCCTGCCTCTCTTTCTGAATGCTGTGTCACCAAACCCAGCTCCCACAACAGCTTTTAAAGAAAGCTTTCTCCAGGGCTTCCTCTTCAGAACTTTCCAAAATCTTCATGGTAATGGGTGGGGCTGCGGCTGTGGTAATTTCGATCCAGGATAATGACTAGTTTTTAATATAATGAATAGCATCTGAAAATGTTCTTAAGGAATGGCTGTCCACCCAAATAAACGCTGGGTGTGGGCAGTGGGTGGACAGGAAGCAGAGAAGGCTTTAACTGCAGATGCGCATGACTGCACATGCTGGAGAGGATGTGGAGAAAGGGGAGCCCTTCTCTACTGCTGGTGGGAGCACAAACTTGTACAGCCGTTTTGGAAATCAATCTGGTGAGCCCTTAGAAAATTGGGAACAGCTCTACCTCCAGACCCAGCTAACCACTCCTGGGCATATATCTGAAAGATGCTCCACCATACAAGAAGGATATTTTGCTCAGCTATGTTCAGAGTGCCTTTATTCATAATAGCCAGAAGCTAGAAACAACCTAGATGTCCCTCAACTGAAGAATGGATAAAGAAACTGTGGTACATCTACATAATGGAATACTATTCCGCTATTAAAAACAAGGAAATCATGGAAATTTGCAGGTAAATGGATGGATCTGGAAAAGATCATCCTGAGTGAGGTAACCCAGACTCAGAAAGACTCGTATAATATATACTCATTTATAAGCAGATATTAGCCATACAATACAGTATGTGGATAACCATACTACAATCCACAGACTAAAGAAGCTAAATAACAAGGAGGACCCAAGGGAGGATGCTTAATTCTTATTCAGAAGGGCAAATAGAAGAGACACCATAAGTGATTGAAGAGAGGGAACAGAGTGGGAGCCTTCTATAGATGTGCTTTGGAAAAACCCCACCTAGCAGGGGATCAAAGTAGATGCTGAGACAGCCAAACTTTGGGCAGAGTGCAGGGAGTCTTATGGAAAAGTAGGGGCATAGAAAGACCTGGAGAGGACAGGCACTCCATAAGAAGCCCAACAGAGCCGACAAATCTGGGCCCGGGGTCGGGGGCCTGCAGAGACTGATGCATCAACCAAGGACCATGCATGCAGAAGACCCCGACCTTTGTTCAGGTGTAGAAGACAGGCAGCTCAGTCTCCATGTAGGTCACCTCGTAAGGGGAACAGGGGCTGCCTTTGACATGAACTTGGTTGCCTGCTCTTTGATCACTCCCCCTGGGTGAGGTGGACTTGCCAGGCCCCAGAGAAAGAGGGTGCATGTAGTCCTAAAGAGATATATAGTCTAGGGTAAAGGAGGAGCCTCCCTCTTCTTGAGGACTAGGGGACAGGGATAGGGGGAAGAGAGAGGATGGGAACAGGAGGAGACAAGGGAAGGGTCTGTGATTAAGATGTAAAATGAATAAATTAAAAACGTATTAAATAAAAAAAGAAGTGTCAAGGTTTATTGATTTCATTGTCAAATAACGAAAATTATTTTGCGTTTGTGACCAATAAAGATGTTGATTCAATAATTAAGACATTTAAACGAACAGTAACTTGATGTTTAGTCATTTTAAAGAATGCTTTGTGTTGTGCCTGAGTGTTTTGCTTGGATGAACGTAAGAGTTCAGTGCTTGAGGTGTCCAGGAGAGGGCGTCGGATACTGTGCAGCTGGAGTTGCAGGCAGTAGCAAGTTGTGACGTGAGTGCAGGAGTCTCTGAGTCCTGTGTGAACAGGAGTCCTCTTCAAGAGCAGCCATCTCTCTAGCCCCTAGCACTTATTCTCTAATATACTGAGAGATTTTAAGACCAGAAGACCTTCAGTCATCATTCAACAGTATTTGTTACATTGTGTTTGGTGCAGATTTCAAGTCCAATTCCAAACTAGCCAAGTGAAACCTTTTGTGGCAGTTACATTATAAAAAGGCACTTTTCATGTTTTAAAGTATATGTTCTGGGGTTTTAAAGCCTACTCCCAAAGCTTTGATCACTGTGGCAACTTATTTGATGGGGGAGAAGTAGGGGGCTGGTGACATTTGCTTTCTTTATAGGCATGGCATGCCTTTTTGATTAGGAACAACTCTCTGCTTCAGAGAGGCCAGTGATAGTTCCAACAGTACAGACAGTACTGACTTATACACCACATGATAGACGGAAACTGTGTGCATCCCTGTCTGGGTTAGAAGGCATGTCGAGGGAGGTCTGGGGGTGTGCAGGGAGAGCTAACATCCATCAGATTCTTCACTAGCATTTCGCACTATTGTTTATCAAGCTAGTTAATGGCCCCTGAATCTTTTGAAAAATCACTACCCCCCCCCAAAAAAAAAAAAAGCAGCTGCAATGTTCTATTTGAGAGTAACCCTTGCTAAGAACTGAGGCTGAATTTAACTTTTGGTTCAGTTGTAATTTACTCTTTAGCTCTAGTTGTTATGGACATATCTGAGACTGAATCTTTCATCCTTCATCTCTGAAATGTGAGGTCTTAGTGTGATCTTTGAAGTCCTTTCATCTCTTTCATCTCTTTGGGTTTTGCTGCTGACCTCTGATTTGGAAGAAGAGCTGTTTCAGTCAGGTAGGTGTCCAAATCATCCCACTTCGAGGAAAAAAAAAAAACCCACCAAACTCATTTTAGAAGAGAGTATACAGTTAGAAACAGATTTTGCTAGCCACATGCTTTATTGGTGGGGCCTGCCCAAAGACTTTTGGTTAGTTGGTACCGAACAGCTTTGAGACTGAGTTAATTGCGTTTGGACTCTGAGATAACTACAGGGGCAAGGATTATTGACTTTGAAGGCTGTCAGAGGAATCAGGCCAGGATGAAAATGGTGAAGAGGAAGTCTTAATGAAATGGAAAAGTGCAAAACATAGTGTGGCCAAAGTTCTGATGTCATGTGAAATCAAGTGGGCAAATGTCCCTGAATATCAGATCCAAACTGCATCTACTGCTGTTCACATTAAATTCAGAAAAATTAATAAATGGATAAATCCAGAAACCTATGTTTATCTTCAAATTTGAATTGATATCTTCTAAAATGAATGTGTAGTATCTTTTGGACATTTTTTTTACATTCAGGATACTATGTTTAGGATGGGAAGGAGTTGGAGGTTAGTGATAAAATGAATGCAGGTTCCGCTGTAGTTCACATGAAGATAGGAGAGTAATAGGAGAGAGGGTAAATGAGAGAGAAGAGTGAACAACACAGAGAAGAGGGACTGTGCACAAGAGAGACAAAGAGTCAGACACAGAGAGAGGAGAAACAGAGAGACAAAGAGAGACACACACACAGAGATTTGGCTTCATGGAAATAAATTCTAGGATCCTTATGGTAAAGATTCACTTAGAAAGTATAACGTTTTTGAGCCTGAAGAAAGTCCATGAGGCACAGGCTTGGCAAATTAGAGAAGACTCTTCATTTCAACTAATGCCATACATGACTTAACTTTGTTCTGGTTCATTAAATTCTGTTTAGTCACCTGGTATATTGTACCTGCTTCTTTGGCATCAGGCTGGGGAGCCTTTAACCAAGGAATTCCTTGAGATGGTTGCATCTCTGTTTTGGACACAATACTTGTCCCTTGAGCATCACATGCAGGGAGTGCAGGAGGACAGCTGTTCTTCAGCATGCATTGAGGGGCAGGGGCAAGGGGACAGGGCATCCTGAAGGCCTGGCTTTACAGGGTTTGATGCCATATGCATGGGGAGACCAATAAGGGCAGAATCGCTGAAATAGGATGAACGTGAGTTGGTTTGGGTTGGAAGCACAAAGTCTTGGCAGCACAGACAATAGTTAAATACAAATCAAGCAATACCACCCTTTTGTAGTATGGAAGCAGACCCAACACATCCAGGCATGAAAATGAGAGCAGAGGCAAAGAACAGTGTGTGCCTGCGGGAAACCTGGGTAAGGTTGGTGAGCATGACAGATTTGGAACTGCAGTATCATGAGTTCTGATGGTCCCTTTGAAGTCCTGAATGGCCCGAATTGAAGAAGTTGTTTTTCCTTTTTCCTTCTTTCTTTTCTTTTCTTTTCTTTTCTTTTCTTTTCTTTTCTTTTCTTTTCTTTTCTTTTCTTTTCTTTTCTTCTTTTCCCCTTTAAATGAACTGACCTCAAACCTTCCTCTCTTCGCTGGGATGTGCCATCAAGGGAAGGACCACATTTATCAGGGAGGAGAAGGAAGAAAGTTCCTAAGTTGCCCTAGAAGTGAGGGTGGAAACAGCTGGGCTTGTAAGAGGAGTTAAGGAGTCTGTTATCTCCTAATTGGAAAAAACAAAACAAAACAAAACAAAACAAAACAAAACAAAAACATTAATAGTGAGGCCAGACCCGTCCCTTCCTACTCCCCCTCCCAGCTGTTTTGCTACTGTTAGCCACCAGAGAGGCTCATAGCTACTTCTTAATTCTGTCTCATCAATGGCAGCTATACCAACAGAACCTAGTTAGGTTCCCCTAACACACTGGAGCTTTTTCTTATTCCTTTTTGTTTTCTTTTTTCCTTCCTTCCTTCCTTCCTTCCTTCCTTCCTTCCTTCCTTCCTTCCTTTCTTCCTTCCTTCCTTCCTTTTCTTTTTTCCTTCCTTTTCTTTCTTTTTTATTTTTTGAAGATTTTAATTAGTTTATAGTTTTTAAAAAGTATTAACATGCAAGGCATTAGATATCATTGTGCTGTTTTCTAACAAAGGATATTTAAGTACATTCTCTTTTCCTCTCATCTCCCCCATTTCTTTATCTCCCTTGAATCTGCCTTGCAACCTTCCCCAGTCTCTTTTCTGGTTTTAAATCACATATGTCCTTTTGGCCTCTACACCCTCCTCAGCAGCTCTTTTTTACCCTCTTCTGGGCCCCTTTCTAAGGTTTGAGGCTTTACTTCCATTTCTGTACATACACCATACATTACAAAGTAGGATCCATATAGGAGGGAAAACGTGGTTGTCATCTACTGACTTTGTGTCACCTTTTTTAATGTTATACTTTCCAGGTCTATCCATACTCCTGCGGTTTCCATAATTTAAGTTTTCTTTACTGCTAAGTCAAATTCCATCATGTACATATATTCATGGCATTTTTGTCACTCATGCTGATGGGCATCCAGGTTTCATTTCTTTGCTACTGTGAATAAGGCAGCAATGGCCATGGATGGACAGGAATCTGTGGAAGTGTTAGAAAAATACTACATCTTCCTAGTGAGAAATCACTCCATACACGTAGAAATGAAGGAAGAACTTTTATAGCACCCGTCTGGCTGAGCTAGCCCCCTAGCAAGAGTCAGCCTCCAAGAGAAGATTTTGTTGGCTTCTAAATGCTTAGACATATACATTTTACATACACCGTCATCCTTAAATCTCTTTCAGGTTTGGCCTCAGTTTACACTTTGAACAATTTAAACAGAGGCAGGAGACTGCAGGTCTGGCTGTTGAGACAGATAGGAGATTTGCACAGCAAAGGTATTAAATATTGTCAGAATTATTTTAAGCATGCCAGTATTATTCAAATAGGTGGTATCAAGCTTCATCTGCGCACCTGAGAGAATTATGATTTTTCTTGATAAGCGTATAGAGGACTTAATGGCAGACCGAAGCTTAATGGTGGTGTGTCCCTCCACCACCCACCACAAGCTGTCCTTTAGAGACAGGTCTGTCTTTGAAATGGGAATCAGAGCTTAATGGCTGGTCATAACTCAGCCAGCTTTACCCTTTGTCGTGGGAGCAGCTGGTCAGTGGTGGTGAGTGAAGGCTTATAGTCTGGCATCCTAAGCCTTCCTTATCTCCAGAAGGTCTGGTTAGCAGGCTACTTATCTTGGGGGGTATTTTGAAGGCAGCTCTCCTTTAGCTAAATTCCGCTTGAGTGACTCAAGGTTTCCTACACAAATCCTTTGTAACAGCGGTTCTATCACATTGTGTTTCCTTTACATCAGTTACATCGGTGAGAAATGGAGTCCCTGAGTATATGGCCAGGAGTGCATAGCTGGGCTATATGGTTGTTTTGTTTTGAGATGACTCCACACTGATTTCCATAATGACTGTAATAGGCCATATAAAATTATTTTTCATTTGATTTATTTATTTATTTTTTTTTTTTGAGGCTGCTATATGGTCAAAAAGCTACAGTTTAGGGGCCTTGGAGAATGACTGAAGAATGTGTGACTTTTTCTGTCAGTGGTAATTCAGGAATACCTACTAATGGAAGTCTGAATTATGAACTTACTAGCGTGTGTACGCCATATATATTTTTTCTTTATTATATATTTCTATATTATTTCTTTATTATTTTATTCTTTATTATGTCAAGCTCATTTATTGTTCTGTATTTTTACAATGTGTTTGTTCCTTATAATATATCCTTTTATCTTTTCTTTTTCTAAATAGTCTTACTTGAATTTAAGTTCACACATCTTAGCTGTTAGCTGTGAAGTACAAAGCTAAAATGCTATGTCTTCTTTCCTTTGTCTGTGTGTGCTAAGCCCTGAGATTGAAAGCTGTGAACCACAGTAATGGGAACAGTGCCTCCTTTCCCAGCAGGCTCTTGAGGAATGTGAACTCACAAGAAACACTCTGAGCTGGTGCCTGGCAGGGAGTGGGGCAGGGGTTAACAACCCTCTTTTTTCCAGGGCTTACTGCAGGCTTTTAGGGTCGCTATCGCTGTTCCCTTTGGAAAATAACAAGAAAACACAAACTTGCATAAGACTGTGTCGGCTTCCAGCAGAGAAGGGCTGCCTTAAGGACGCAAATAACAAAAAGGAGACCGTGGGGGAATGGCCCTTGGTTTACTCTGGGGTCTCTTGTGCCACGTGTCAGCCACCTGGGGCAAAAGGAGGGGCTGATTTCTGTTCTGGGTTTCCTGCAGACTCTCACAGGACATAGTACTGACCTCCTGTGCTCAGTTCCTGGCCTCACAGTTCCAGTGTCGAGAGGGTGTTCAGAAGTTGAACAGTAGGGAGAAAAAGAGAACTGATAAGAAGTCGGAGCCTAAAGGAGCCCTAAGGAAACGGCAGGGGAGATGGGATTTCTCGCGCCATCACTCCTGCCTCCCGATCACCCCTTCCAGGGCTCTGAGATGCTTTGGCCCAGTCGAGTGACTGTTGGTGGGCGTTGAGCCCAGCATCCTCCATCCTCCACCCCAGAGCGAAGGCTGGCAGTCTCTCCGGACTGCCCTCTTGCAGGACCTGGTTCCTGCTCAGGGCCCTGCGGCTTCAAGGGTCGCGGAGGGCAGTCTCCGCCAACCGCCCGCGAGCCTGGCTGCTCCTTTCCCGAGCCTTAGCGGAGGACGCCGGGTTCCCTCCGGGTTTCGTCCGTGAGGAAGTCGATCCAGGCTGTGGGGTGAGATGCGCCCATCCGAAGATCTGCAAGATGTAGAATGTGCGCAGTCACAAACGGGCATTTTACAACTCAGGGAATTCTGCTCTGGTTGCGAAACGGCACTTCCTGACGGCGAGGAGCACATTGATAGAGGTGATGGCGGGTGAACTGTGCCAAGGCAGATTCTCTCACTCAGGAGTCAACAGTGTGTCAGCTGAAGAGTGGGGTAACAAATCTTCACGCCTGGGCTTTACCTGCCGCTGCATGCAGTAAGAGGCGATATATTCGATGCAGCTGTGAACCAGGACAGAGAGAGAGAGAGAGAGAGAGAGAGAGAGAGAGAGAGAGAGCAACCAAACGCACAATTCGGGTTATTTAAGCGAGATTCTGCAGTTGGGATGGGAGGGAGGGAAGGCTGACATCACCGGGGGCGGGGCCGCGGTCCAAAGTTAAAGTCGGCAGCATGACTGGGGAGACGGCAAGTTTGGGGCACAGCGTCGCCATGGGCTGCCACAACGTTTCGGAGCTCCGGGACCTGGGCTGTTCCAGCCAGCTGCTTCTGCAGCCGCTCTGGGACACCATGAGGAGCAGGGAGGCGTTCGCTCGCTCACCCCTTTTCCCCGTCATCTTCTCGATGGTCACCTACGTGGGCTTCTGCCTGCCGTTCGTGGTGCTGGACCTGCTGTGCCCCTGGGTGCCCATCCTGCGACGCTACAAGATCCACCCCGACTTCTCGCCGTCGGCGAGGCAGCTGCTGCCCTGCCTGGGGCTGACCCTCTCCCAGCACCTGGTGGTGGTGTTCCCGGTGACGCTGCTGCACTGGGCGCGCAGCCCCGCGCTCCTGCCGCGGGAGGCCCCCGAGCTCTTCCAGCTGCTGAGCCACGTCCTCATCTGCTTGCTGCTCTTCGACGCCGAGGTCTTCGCGTGGCACCGGCTGCAGCATAAGGTGCCCTGGCTGTATCGCACCTTTCACAAGGTGCATCACCAGAACGCGTCCTCCTTCGCGCTGGCCACGCAGTACATGAGCGTCTGGGAGCTGCTTTCCCTGACCTTCTTCGACGTGCTGAACGTCGTGGTGCTTCAGTGTCACCCACTCACCGTCCTCGTCTTTCACGTGGTCAACATCTGGCTGTCGGTGGAGGATCACTCAGGCTACGACTTTCCGTGGTCCACGCACAGACTCGTGCCCTTTGGCTGGTACGGGGGCGTGGCTCACCACGACCTGCACCACTCTCAGTTTAACTGCAACTTTGCTCCTTACTTCACACACTGGGACAAAATGCTGGGGACCCTGCGGTCCGCGCCCCTGCCAGCGCGCTCCTGTGCCTGTGGTGGGCGCTACCTGGACTCCGGAGAGCTGTGCCCTTCACACTTGAACCAGGAGAAGAAACAGACTTGAGTTGTTTTTTTCAGAAGTTAGTAAGTTTTTAAACATTGAACACTACTATAAAATCGAGTGTGTTTCTGCAATATGACAAAAATAATTTATATAATGTTTGTATATCAATTTAATTGTAGTCTTGGTGTCAAATTTCAACTCACTCCAGTGTCATTGACTTCTGGACACAGGTTAGACATTCAGCATGGTGTACTTGAATCGTTATGATATCTAGAAAAAATTGTTTATAGAACCAAGACTTTCCTACGTATGAATTTGCACTGGAACTGGGCTAAACACACATGTTGATGAAAGACCTGATTTCTGACTCTTTAAATAAGCAAACCTGTTCCTGCTGGGCAGTGACCAAGGTTATAGTATATTTTTTCTATGTGTTGAATGAAGTGATATATTTATATTGACAGAATTTTTATTTGCATTTTAAAAATAAAAAGCACATGTGCTAAACAAACGCTGGCTCCTGCTGGACCTGATAGATAAAAGCTAAAAAGGAGGGGGGAGGGGTCTGGGCTGCCTAGAATTCTTTGAAGCATCTCTCAGTTCTGCCATGGGAAGAGGAATCTGGTGTGTGTGGGGGAGGGTGAAGGAAGGGAAGGGTATAGGGAAGAAGGCTGACTGACTTTGGTTCAGAATGCCTTTGGGCTGATTTTGACATAAGACACACATGATAAATGCATTCTGTATATTATTTTTATGGGAGATTATCATCAGTCACTGAACTGGTGGAGTTGTATGTACAGAGCAATTTAGAAACACAGCCTCAGAGTAATGCCTTCCTATCAGCAAACTTGACCGGTGAAATTTGTGCATTTGAGTAAGTTCCGTTTTTAAAGCAGTGTCCAGTCTTAGCTACAACTGACCCTTAAAAGGCTGTCCTTGCAGCCTGGAGTTTTTGTATAGTTTATTTTCTTAATGAAGACACACATGCAAAATATATAGCCCCTTTTAAACCAAGGGGGAGAATACATTTCAGTCGTAGACCCCCTGTTTTGTCAACTGTAAAAGAAGATGGTAGAATGCATGTGAAAATCACTATCAAGATAAAAAAGAAGGGGGAGCTGGGTGCTGAATAATACAAATTATTGAGCATGCAGATGTTGTCATCAAACACCTCACCTACCTGCAGCTTAGTAGTCTGATGTTAAATGAGGGCACAGTTCACAAAGTCTAAAGTTTAAGAAAGATGTCAGAAGTCTATAACATTGTATGTAATTGTGGCTCATCATATATGAACCCAAATGCTTTTATTTAGAGGTTGAAAAAAATCATCTAAAGATTTGCTCTCCATTGTCTGTCAGAGGAGATTCCTCGGAAATATCTTTAAATCTTTTAAGCATTTACTTCCTAATGTAGCAGTGATGTGCTAATTTTCTCATGTTGGCTCAGATGACTTTTCCTGGCTTCTGAAGTGAAGTCTGCAAGTGCACCAGGCTGGGACATAAAGATCTGACTTAAATTATAAAATGTGACCTTCCCAGAAAGAGGAAGAGGCTTCCAAGCGGGAAGCCGTGCGCTAGACATGCACCACGCAACATCACTTTGGTCATGTGCACAGTGAACAGGGGAAAGACAGTGAATGGGGAAAGACGATAATAAACATGAACGCCCAGTGTTTGTCCTCCTCCCAAGGGTTCAGCCCTCGGGTGAGAACAGGGCATCCAGGCTGAGGGGTTGAGAGGCTTGGAGTTGTCACACAGACCCTGAAAAGAGAGAGCACATTATTTAGCTTTGGGTGACAGGTCAGGTTCCTGCACACCGCAGAGCCTGCCACTGGTGCAGCTGTTACTACTGTGAAGGGCTCCAGGCACCTGAAACCACACAGGTGGCAAAATAGCAATGTGTTTCAGCTTAGGGTCAGAGTCTGTAACAAAGTTTCATGTCATCTTGTCCCATAAGGGTAATGAGAGGAGGCAATTGTACAAGTGGAAAGTGCTGGATTTAGAAACACTTTCTCCAAGTCCCTTGCCAGCACCTAATGACTTGTTTAGGAAGATGAGAAACTTCAGATAAGTGAGAGGCCAAATGACAAAGACAGATAGGCCACATTTGTGTGTCTTCACACTTAATTTCACTCAGTCTTTGAAACACCACCGTAAACGGTGTAGGGTAGTTATCCACTCTTCATCTCCAGCATCTCCCATTAGAGATGGAGGATTGATTCCACAGAGGTTTAGTATCTTTTCCCAAGCAGGAGGGAAATAGGCATTGGAATGTTCCTAATTAGCAAATCCAGAGAGATGGTTTTTCATCTTCTTACTTGGCCTTTTTTTTTTTTATTGTCTGCTGTGTGTGTGTGTGTGTGTGTGTTACTTTCTTAACCTTCATCCTAGCTTAGCAGTAAAGCTTCTCTAAAGCATTTACTTCCTAATTTTCTGGATGTTTCTTTTCCTTTTAGTGGCTTACCTCAACGAGAACGGAAGCCACAGGCACTTGGGTACTTAATTAAAAAAAAATCTGTATTGGGTGCAACAAATGTCTTTTCTACCACCTCCTAATGACTCTGAAATTTTCCTGTTAATTGCATATAGAATACACACATGCATGCATACATACTATTTATATGTGTGCATACAAAATATGTAATACTGTATGTATATGACTATGTATGCATGTATTATACACACAAATTATACAGATGTCTACACATGATTACATCATGCATTTGTGTACTGTGTATGAACATTTGGCACTATATAGAACACATTGCATATATCATAACTTCATTGTATAATTTATGAACATATATATGGATATATGGATAAGGCATGCTACATATGTTATATAGATATACATATATATCAACCATATGTAAACACACATGTGCTTTATTTACATATATACTCTGCTCTTTCTTTCCTTTCTCTGTTCTTCCTCTCTTTTCTATAAACACACACACACACACACACAACCATTTTCGCTCTGTTTAGTTTACTAATTGTCTCTTTCTCCAGGATAACACTTGTTTCTTGATAAATACTGACTCAGTGTTATGTGAAAGCATAGGAAACACAGTTTGGCTGTTAGTTATGCCTTTCTTCATCTGTTTCTTCTTTTTCTTTGTCCTCCACCACCAGGCCAACTCGGCTTTTTCCTCAGGCCATGTTCACATTTCACAGTCCTGTTCTAGAGAGGGTAACGGCTTTCTGGAAACATGTCAGATAAACAAATTCAGCTAACTCAGTGTGGTAAACACTACCAGGAAGACTGTAACAGGCTGTTAGGAGATTCCAAAGAGACCATTCAGTCCAAACTATAAAGGATTTCTATGGATTCACAAAGCAGGAGCACAGGCACAGCTGATACCTAGTTGGAGAAAGACAGTTGCAGAGAGTGAGAAAACGTGACATACTGAAAATGTAGTAGAAAGCTCAGAGTGCCTAAGGAGTCATATTAAAACCTTAAGGCACATTTTTAGCAAGGCATCCAGGGCCCGGGCTTGGGACCCAGCAGGCAGGCTTTATTTTACCGCTTCACAAACTATCAAACTGTTCAGGGCTGTGACCACTTGCCTCTGTCCCAGGAGTTGTGGCAGAACACATGTAAAATAGATCAAAAGCAACAAATGTTAGGGCTTGCTAGATATGTCAGTACATAATGAATAGAAGAATGAAGGTATTGGAGATTAGACTTGGGCAACTGAGGTGGAGGCCTGTGTATTGCATAGATTTTATGCAAAGGAATAATGTGTTTGTGTATGTGTAAAGTGATAACTTGCAGCAGAGAATAGTGGTACTTATTCAGTTAGGAGGCCCTAGCATTCTGCCTTCATTCTAAGCCTGCCTCCACCGCATACTCACTGTGTGACCGGCATGGATGTCCTAAGGCTCAGTTTCCTCATCTGTAAAAGGACAGTATTGGTTACTTGTTTGTTACTGTGACAAAATACTGTGACTAAAGGCAACATATAGAAGAAAGAGTTTATTTTGGCTTATGGCTTCAGAAGTAGAGTCTATAATAGCAGGGGAGGAGTGGGAGAGCAGGTGTCAGGAGTCACATACCGGAAAGAGAACACCGGCAAGGTCTATGAGGTCAAATCCTGACTTCAGTGATGTATGTCCTCCAGCAAGACTGTTCCATAGTCTCTCCAAACACCAATGCCAACCGGGGAACAGGTGCTCACATGTGTCAGCCTACGAAGGACATTTTCATCCAAAGCACAGCAGAGAGTATCAGTGTCTACTCCTAACATGTGTGAGGACTAGGGAAGAAAATGCTTGTGTACTTGGCACATTCCTGACATCCAGACAGCAATCTTTACGTAGAAACTCTTTCTTTACAGATTTTTACAAAATTGTTAAAAAAGAGATAGTGAACTTGACGCAAAGCAGATGTAGATGGGATAAAAAGGGAGAAGGCATGGATTTCTCTTCCATCATAACAACGATTATTTTACAAAAGTTATACAAGCATGTGATAAGATCCCAGCACTGGAGAAAATGAAAAATATAACGTTCCAATCATATTCTGTTAACTTAGTTCCACTGCAGATTTCTTTTGCCAACACAAAAGAGTTGTTTGGTTCTTGAGAGCCAAACAAAAAGTTGCTCAGTGTCCCTCCTGCTTTTCTTGCTCCTCTTCTTCTGCTGCTGCTTCTGCTTCTTCTTTTTTAACATTGGCTTGAATACAGTGACTTTTAAAATATCAGTATGAACACTTCCTTAGGTGAAGCTGCCAAGATGTTTTCCCTGAACCATTTCTTTTTGCTTATTTTCCATTCTTTATTTAAAAATGAATGCATTGATTTTAATAATTGCCACTTTCTAATAAATACATAAAAAAGAATAGCAGTGATCTAAAAATCATAGAGCCAAATTCTCCACTCTTCTAATCTCTTAGGTTCTTTTTTACTGCTGTCATAAACATCACGAGGAAGACAACTTAAAGAGGGAATAGTTCATTTGGGTTTACAAGGTTCCCAAAGGATGAGCTCATCACCATCCTGGTAGGCAATGTGGCATCAGAAAGGCATGGCAGCTGGAGCAGCAGCCGAGAGCTCACAAATGGGACCACAAGCAGGAAGCAAAGAGAGCAAACCCAAAATGGTGGGAGTGTTTAACTCTCAAAGCCTTCCTCTGGAGGAAGAAAATGACACACTTCTTCCAAAAAAGCCACATCTCCTAAGCACAACCAACTACGGAAAAAGTTCAAAAGCTCCAAACTATGGGAGTCATCTCATCCAAACAGCAATATGCCAAAAAGTGTTATATTGTCTGTGTTTGAGTAGTCACTATTATATCTACACTATTATATCCTTGACAAGGCAAGTTGACAACTTTGAGGCAAGAAGACATTTCACAGTTTGCGGAGACTCCTGAAATTATGAATTTTATATTTAAAAGAGATCTTAAAATTCACAGAATGGTTATT